CCCCGAGTTGACATCAACACAAAAAAAACACTGAAAAAAAAACATCAAAAGGACGAGATTAAAGAGAAAAAGACACAGCATAAGATGAGTGAAGGATTCAGTCTCTACGGAACCATATAACGATCGATCAATCTTGAGAAAGCTTTGACGCTAGCAGGAAATGATTTATGTCTATTAAGCTTAAAGTAGTCTGTACCAGCCCTTATAGTGAAGAAGCGCGACCGTATTGTGCTTGGCAAGAGGCACCACTGGCTTGAGAGGGCCTCCCCTGGTGACTGATGGACGCAGAATACGAAAATGATCAGGACTGAGACCACACTTGCCATGAAGGATCTTATGGAAAAGGATGAGGTCGAATTTTCTCCTCCTACAGGCCAGGGATTGTAACTTCAGATTTCTGTTCCTTTCAATGCTAGAAGGAATACCATCATAGAGAACCCAAAGCTCTCACCATAACTTTCCGTGTGAAAGAGTTCTGAACTCTTTCTAGTGTTTTAATCATTTTCACTTTATAGGGGTTGAATACAGGCGTGCCGTACTCCAGAATTGGCCTAACATACGTCTTGAAAGCACGCAACAGCACAGCAGTATTCTTTGTTGTGAGAACCCTGAAGAGTTTGTAGACCACTGTAGTGGCTTTGCGAGCAATGCTTTCACAGTGCGAATCAAAGCTGAGATCCTTAGTTACGATGAAGCCTAAGTCCCGTTGTTGGTCTACTTTCCTAATAGGAGTACTCTCAACAAAATAAGGGAACTCTTTATTCTTTGGGCCGAGATGCAGCACTGTAGTTTTCTCACTGGACAGCGGTAGTGCCCACTTCTTAGACCATGTATTCACGAAATCAATGGATCTCTGAAGTTGCAAACGTTCATCTTCAGTTCCTACAGCTCTATATAACTTGACATCATCCGCGAATGCCACGCAATCAACACCACGGCCAGTTATAAGCAGAGGCAACTCAAATGTGTAAATGTTGAAGAGCAGAGGGGAAAGAACGCCTCCCTGAGGTACCCCGCTCGGTGCTGAACGTGGAGAGGAAAAACTTTTATTCACTCGCACCATGAACGTCCGGTCACTTAAGAAGGCGCGTATCCAAGCAATAATGCGAGAGTGTACTCCTATCACGAAAGTTTAGTGAAGTGAAGTTTAGTGAGTGAAGCTTTCGAAAAATCCAAGTAT